GCAACCCTATGAACAACTGATCTGAAACTTGCCCAATCCTGTGCCATCTTCACATCTCTGATCTCGAGCCCATTGTTTTTTGGTGTTTTTTTTTTTTTCTCGAGCCCATTGTTACAGTCAGTGTGCCGATCCATCTTGTTGAGTCTTCCCACACATGGTGAACAGCTATCAGCTGAGCTTTCAGGCTAAGAAGTAGGACTGGCCGCCAACTTTTGAAATAGCAAGCCATCAAAAACAGAAACTATTAGAGCTCCCAAAACTTAGTTATCCTTTGAGCCTGGAACCAAATATATGCCTGTAGCTCTACTTTCATGCAAACAACAGAAATGGTTATGTGGGGAATAATACCAGGGAGGTACTCACTCCTTAGAATAATCAATCATACAAGGTAACAAAAGCACTACTTGGAACATCCCCAGAGAATAGGAGAACTGAGGCACAACCTGAGATTTGTACACCAATGTTCACAGTAGCATTATTCACCATTGCAAGAAAATGGAAACAGCCCAAATATCCAACCACAAAAGAATGGATTGAGAAATTATGGTACATTCACACAATGGAATACTACACAGCACACAGAAGCAATAACTTTGTAAATTACTACCTAATTTGGGAGGTACTGGAGAGCATTATGCTGAGTGAACGAACTCAGTCCCACAAGGATAAATATTGTATAAGACCGTTACTGTAGAATGAGTATAAGGATCCAGGAGGGGTGGGAGAGGCTGGAAGCAGAGGGATGTGGATGTACAAGGGGGAGAGGGGGTTAATCATTGGGTTGTACAATTTGATGGCTGGGGTGGTGAGGGAAATTGAAAGAATCTGTCTGAATTTGTATTAGAATTTTGTAAATAAACTTGTGAAGAAAAAAAAAGAAGATAAAAAAAGAAGCATCTGCCCAGAGAGCAAGCTCAGAAGGCATAAAATAGAAGGATGGAAGGAAACAAGAATCACCCAGAAGTAAGAAAAGTCCTGTTACAAAGTGAGGACTGTATTTAAAGTAAAAAGAGACCTACAAGAATGACTGAATGGAAAAACTAATTGCTCTATAAACTCTTATTCAAAGCACAACTTAAAAAAAAAGAAAGTGTACTGACAAATGGTCTATTTCTCTTTGTGGATTAACAGCAGAGATCTAGTTACGTGGGTATATTAAACATTCAGATCTTGGAAGGTTTAAGGAGGAACACTGAAACTAGCAGGAGGTAGGGCTGTCTGAGATAAGGGCTGCCAGAAAGGATGCCGATCCTCTCAGAGAAGCCAGTCAAAACAAGGTGACTACAAAGAGGATCATGCTCTAAGCTCTAAATAGGCACTGAGTGAGAGGATGCACTCAAATCCTCATTTCATTCATTAGGCCGATATATACTGGTTGCCAGATAATTGTTTTAGGTGCTACAAGTAGAACAGCAATTATACAAATCCCTACCCTTATAGAACCTCATGGGAATGGCTAAGATACTTTAATAAAATGTCAGACAAGACTATTAAGAAAACCAGAACAGAGGCAGCCATTAGAGGAGAGTCCCACTCACTGCTATTGAGTCTGTTCCTCAGCAAAGCAATTCTCCATGAGGTTTCTGAGGTTGTAAATGCAAATGGGAGGAGACTGCCTTTCTTTGTCCCATGGAGCTGCTGGTGGATTAAAACTACAGACCTGCAGCCTTTGGGTCCGCAGCACAACTCCCGATGGACTATGTCAGCAGAGCACTCAGAGTCAGGGGACAGCATTTAAGTAACTGTGTACAGAGGGGTCAACCGAGGGGAGGACAGTTTCAGACGTAGACAAGAGCAGGTGTGAATAGTGGATGACGGGAATGGGAACTACAAGTTCCTGCTAAAGTTGTAGTCAAAGCTTCCAATATTGATTTTTGGGTAAAAACAAAGTATACAAAATGAGAACAAGATATTAAAAAAACAACAAATAAAAAAACCCAAACTAACCCAACAACAAACAAAACAAAACAGAAAGACTTTTTATGAAAGGAGGAGGAAACAAAACATCCTCTATGCCGGGTATTTTTTATACCATATTGTTTTATCCGTATCTATTGTACTAAATCACCATTATTCTCTCTACCTTATGGATTATGAAATTAAAGACTGATCAAGTTATGCAGAATTCCAACTCAACACCCACTCCTTTTCCCCTACATGACTGCTTCCTAGTGAAATACTTTATTCTTTTAAACTACTGGTATTCCCTCTAACACAAAATTCTTAACTTGTGACCCCCAGAGCCTCAGCAGGAGACTCCCAGTTCCCACTCATCCTCACACCAGGGAGAAACACAAGTAAATATTAAGAGTGTGTCTATTTACTTTTTCTAGAAAGAAAATTCATAACTATTATCAGCATGTCAATAGAGGTCTGAGAGAGGAAAGGTTATGAAGTCCTATTCTAGAGTAATAAATGTCTCCTGCTGCCCATTTTTGGTAGCTGTTCCTGTTACAAGATGCAAATGTGGGAAACTCATGCCCTCCAGAGTTAAGAAATCAACAACTAGGGGAGCTCTGGTGGCCTAGTGGTAAGAAGCTGCACTGCAGTCCCAGAGGTGCGTGGTTCAAATCCACCAGATGCTCTGCCAAGGAAGGAGGGACAATTTCCTCCTGTACCAGTCAGATCCAATTTGACGGTACATGCACAAAAAAATAATAAAATAAAAATAAAAAAAAAAAGAAATCAACAACTGATCTGTCCAGTACATAATCTAGGATTTCAGTTTTTAAAGAGGAAATGAAAGACAAGTAGGGAGCATAGGCAATTCTAGAAGGGGTAAGGATATACTTTACCCAAGACTCATAAGCAACCAAATTTTATTGATGTTGTTGTTTACCTTCGAATCAGAACCAACTCACAGCTGATGCTCTAGCACCTTTTCAGAAGCAGTAAATCACACAGGAGGAGACTGTTTCTTTTTCTCCCATGGAGCAGCTCGTGGATTCAAATCGCCTACCTTTGGATTGTTAGTGCAACTCCTTACCACTAAACCACCAGAGGTCCCTACTGATGGATGTTAGGTGACATTAAGTCAGTTGTGATTCATAGCACCCCTACGAAAAGCAAAATTAAACACTGCCAAGTCCTGTACAATTCTCACAACTGCTGGTGCTTAAGCAAACTGTGCTGACGTTACTCACCAGGATTTTAAGGGCCAAATTATTTCAGAAGTAGATGCCTAGTCTTACCCCCTTAGTCAAAGACACAATCTTGCATGAGGAAAATAAAGACTCAAAGTACTTTCTGAAGAGAAAAACTTTCAATATGGATTATATCTTATCATCAAGAAAACAAAAATTCTCATAACTGCAACAATAGTCAACATCATAAGCAATGAAGACAAGACTGAAGTGTCCAGGATTTCATTTTTATTGGATCCACATTCAGCACCTTTGGTAACTACTGTCAAGAAATCACAAGACTTGTTGTATTGGAGAAATGTGTTCTCAAGGACTTTTTTTCTTTTTGAAGGTAAAATAGTAAAGGCAGATTTATTAGAAAGTTACCCCCAAAGGAACGGACCTCCTTCCTTGAAGGGAAATATGGAGGACAAGCTATTAAGGGTCTCTAGAGAGTAGTAAAGAGTAAGCGTGTCTGTTTCAAGACTAATGTGTGCCTGATCCAAGCCATGGTATTTACAAATGCTTTGAATGTGTGAGAAAGTAGGACAACATATAAGGAAGACTGAAGACGAATTGACTTTGAATTGTGGTGCTGGTGAAGAGTACTGAATATACTATGGACTAGGGGATGGGGGAGAAGTCTGTCTTAAAGGAAATTCACTCAGAGTGCTCCTTAGAGCCCAAGATGGTGAAACTTATTCACATACTTTGGGCATTTTGTCTGGATCATGCTGAGAAAAGTAGAGGGTCATGAAAAAGAGTGACAGTAGATTTGAGCACAGGTGGAGATCCTGAGCATAGTACAGCACAAGCAAAGGTTTTAAGTTCATAGGGTCACTCACTTCGATAAGGTCTTAGTCAATTCAATGGCACCTAACAACAACAAACCCCACGGTTGGTAGCTAGGGGGTTAATTCATCTTGTTGAGGATCTTCCTCTCTCCCACTGACCCTTACTTTCCCAAGCATGGCATTCTTTTCCTGGAACTGGCTCTTCTTTAATACTTGTCCTAAGTGAGACCTTCTTGTTTCTAAGGAGCAATTCTGGCTGCACATGTTCCAAGACAGAAGAAGACTAGAGTTGCCCCAAACTTTCACCAAGCAGCATAACTTCCTACTCGCTCTGGCCCACCTCTTTAACTCATCACCGAATAGAAAACTCCTTTTTGGCCGTATTAGCACCTGAAAATCTCTTAAGAATTCCCATGTTGTTGTTGTTGTGCCGTCGAATAGAGCACGATTCATAGCGACCCTATGAACATAAGAACTGAAGCCTTTCTATAACTATCGCCGTTTCTCAAAGTTTATAGTTTCCAGAGGCATGTTGTTTAGAATTTCCATAGTACAGGCTAAAAGACGGTATAGCCTCCCAACCTAAAGTACTGACTTTGGAGACACAGTGATCTGGATTTCAATTCACACTCTTTCCAGCCGTAAACTTGGGCACATTACGTAATCTGAACTATAAAATGATGGTAAAATGGTCCATCTAATAGGATTGCCTTGCGTATAAATGAGATAATACGTGTAAAGTGCTTGGCCCAGTGTGTAACACATTAGAGACTATTATGTGGCATTTATTGTTACTATTACTGTCGTTGTTGCTGGTCCAGCACTCAACGAAGGCCTCTCATTCACAGCAAAGCGGAGGGGTCTCCGAGCTAACTCATGATCCTCCGACCAGCCGCATACCTGGGAAGCCCCCAGAGGACCTCGCCCACCTGACCCATCAAAAGGGCTCCTCCTTCCTTCCTGAGAACCACTCCCCTCCCAGAGCTCACAGGAGGGTCCCTGACCAATCGCACCTCGAGCCAGGCCCCTTCCCCAAGGCGTCTCCATTCGGCCCAGCCCGCTAAAATCATACAGTCCGAGTTACCATTTTCTTGCTCTCCGTGCCGCGGTTTGTCTGTCTCGACATGGTGCCGGCCGCCCAACTCTGCCTCACCTTAGGCCCGCGCAGCGACCCACTGACAGTCCACTCGGCCCAACCAAGGAACCTTAACCTCCGGGACTAACCAGCATCTGCTTACTGCGCGTGCGCGGCTCGTGGCGGGTCACCACGGGACTTGTAGTTCGGCGCCCACAGTTAACTCCCGCCAAATGTCGGACTACAACATCCAACAGCCATGTGGGCAGTACCGCCTCTTAGTTGTACTATTGGACTGCAACTCCCGAAGTGCATCGCGCGCGGCGGACTCCAAGAGTTTCTCCTTGAGCTTTGTTCTGGCCGCTGGGTGGCGGACGCGGTTTGCAGTAATCATGCTTCACCTTCCATATCGCCCCCACCTCCACCCACGCCACTTCAGAGAAGTTCCGCAAACTCCTCTCGCGACCCTACCAATTTTGGAAAGTCCCTCTAAACTAGCTTCTTCCGCTGTTGAAGCAATTCAGAGCTCCCAGGATATGCCAAAAAGCTAACAACAGCTATAAACGGAATTAACTGTCTTCATAAAAAAAAAAATTAATAAATGAACATGTATACGTGCCAGTCAAAATATCATAATGAAATGTGCAAAAAGCTGGAGTTAGAGCGGGAGAGAACTGCAGCAATGAATGAATGGAAATCCAAAATCTCTGTAAATGTTCATTAAAATTATTTTAAAAATTACCAAAAAAAAAAAAGCTGGAGTTAGAAAATAAAAATAACTCCCTCAGCATTTCTTAAGCTGAAGGAACTGGAAGACAAAGTCAAGCCTCGAGTTACAATACTTTTTTAAAAAAATAATTTTAATGAACATTTACAGAGAATTTGGACTTCCATTCATTCATTGCTGCACTTCTCTACCCGCCCAGCCCTCTCCCCCAAACCCCCAGTTCGCTCCTCTCTTTCAAAAGTAAAAGAAAGACTCCCTCCCTGGTACACAATCCCCCCACACTCATCCCACCGCCCCGAGTACATTCCACTACGCAACCTTAATTGTGGACTCTTGTGATAACCTTAATACCCCATCATACATCGCTTTTAAATTATTCACTCCCTCATCTGTTTCAGTGCAGTATACATAATTTATCCAGTTTTTCTCAGTCTTACCTCCACCCTGATATCAGTCCCATTTTACAGCAGTGGCACCATGCAAGATTTGTCCTTTTGTGACTGAGATATCTCACTCAGCATAATGTCCTCCAGGCTCACCCATTTTGAATAATATTGCACGAGTTCCTTGGTTTTCAATGCAGCATAGTATTCCATTGTGTGAATATACCACAGCTTCTCTATCTATTCGTTTGTTGATGGGCACCTGGGTTGTTTCCAACTCCTTGCTATTGTGAACAGAGCTGCATATATCTGCTTGGATGTCAGTTATGGTCTCTTTGGGATATATTCCCAGTAGTGAAATTGCTGGGTCAAATGGTATCTCTATTTGCAACTTTTTGAGAAAGCGCCATACTACCTTCCACAGTGGTTGCACCATTTTACCCTCCCACCAACAGTGAATAAGGGTTCCAGTTTCTCCACAACCTCGCCAGCATTTGTTGCTTGCTGTTCTGTTAAATTTTGCTATTCTGACTGGGGTGAGTTACAATACTTAAAGATGCTAAAGGCAGAATATTGAACGATCCAGGAAACATGAAAAGAAGATGGAAGGAGTACACAGAGGCACTGTAACAAAAAAATAATTGGCTAACACAGGAAAAAAATAATGAAACAGTATATGATCAAGAAGGAATGTAATGAAGGAGGAAAGCTCGTCTGAAGGAATTGGTTAAAAAAATAAGGCCCCAGGAATTGATGGAAGACCAATTGACAGACTTAAATAAAGAGATACAGCCCTGGATGTGTGCTCACCAGGTTGTTCCAAGAAATCTGGAGGACAACTCCCCAGCCAATTGACTGTAAAAGATCCATATTTATTCCCCTCCCCCAAAAAAGGTGACCCGACAGAATGTAGAAATTATTGAACAATGTCACTAATACCACACACAAGCAAAATCCTGCTGAAGATTATCCAAAAATGACAGAAACAGTCCATCAGTAGAGAACTACCAAAAACACAAGCTAAATTTAGAAGAGGTCGTGGCACTAGAGACATTATTGCCAATGTCAGATGGATTTTGGCAGAAAGCAAAGAGTACCAGAGGAATGTCTATGTGTTTTATTGACTATGCAAAGGCATTTATGTGGATCACAACAGACTGTGGCTACTATTGGAAAGAATGGAAATCCCAGAACACTTATTTGTGCTCATGTGAAAAAAATCTACACTTGGACCAGGAAGTAGTCCTGAGAACAGAGCAAGGAAACACTGGATGGTTCAAAATCAGGAAAGGAGTGCATCATAGCTGCATCCTGTCTCCATACCTTTTTGATCTATATGCAAAACAGATCATTCAAGGAGCTGGACTTTATGAGGAGGAGTGTGGCATCAGGATTTGAAGAAGACTCATCAACAACTTGCATTATGTGGTAGATGCAACCTTGCTCACCGAAACTGAGGAGGACTTGAAGGTTTTGCTACATAAAGTCAAAGACTGTTGGATTGCACTGCAACATCAAGTAAAACAAAGATTCTCACCAGTGGGTCAATTGGCAACACCATGATAGATAGAGAAGAGATTGAGGTTGTTAACAATTTCAGCTTGTTCAGGTCCACAATCAACACTCTTGACACTGTTGTTGTTCTTATGTGCTGTTGAGTCTCTTGCAACTCATAGCGACCCTATGTACAACAGCCCTAAACTCTGCTCTGTCCTGTGCCAATCACACTGTCTCTGATACACCCATACCGATTACCCCAGTCACTGAATCAATCCACCTCATAGAGGGCCTTCCTCTCCTGCGCTGTCCATCCACCCTACCAAGCAT